GGGAAGGGTTTTTGCCCCTAGCCAGCCTACAGCTCACGTACTGAGAGCAACCAACCTTCAGCGGCATGTGCTTTCGCACAGGCAGTATAAACCCGCTCAGAACCTTGGGTCATTCCTCACCTATGCTGAAGCATGTTCTGCCACGGCTTTACAGTCCGGTACCTGAGCTTGCTCAATGAAAGCTACCTCGGGTACGTTAACTGGCATTGCAATCCAGGGCCGGCTTTAGGAAGTGTGGGGCCCAATTCGAATACCCGGCGGCGGTCCGGGTCTTCGGCGGCACTTCGGTGGCGGGTCCTTCACTCGCTCTGGGTCTTCCGCGGCACTGAAGGACCCGCCACTGAAATGCAGCTGAAGACCCAGAGCGAGTGAAGGACCCGCCGCCAATGTGCTGCCGAAGACCCGGACTGCCACCAGGTGAGTAAAAAAATTAAAAAGGTGCCTAAGTTAGGTGCTCTTCTTTAGGGCGCGGGGCCCTCTTAGGCGCAGGGCCCGATTCAGGGGAATCGGCCTTAAGCTGGCCCTGTTGCAATCACATCCCAGGATTGCAGTATAAGCCATACCCTGAATAAATAAAGCCCCGTCTCCCTAGCTCAGCCTGTGGGGCAGAGTCACCTTTGGTATAGAAATCTCCCACTGCTGAACAAACCCCCAGGGTAGATTCCATTTCTACTAGACTGTAGAATTAGCCATCCTAGGGAAAGGACTCGTCCGTCATCTGAATGTGTGTATTGAGTAACTTGGATACCTGAGGGACTGACACATCTGGCAGTGGGTTTTGGGTTTTTTCACCTCTGTGTCACGGGTTAGGACCCTGGCCAGATCAGCCATAATCAAAAATCTTCCCCACCCGATGAGTCTTTGGGGAGTTCTTGCTGGAGTCTTTGGGGAGTTCCAGCATGCCCTTCCCCCTAAGTGTGGAGTGGTGATGCCTCAGTTTCTCCACATGATTTTCAGCCCGCTTCCCCTGTAGAGGTGGCTTAGCCCTCCAGCCAAGACACTTGTTCAATCCCTTCCAGGGTAACAGAGTCCTCTGGTCAAAATCCAACAGAAACACCAGACAAAAGAATCATTAGCCCAACTGGGGTCTGCTTCCAACCTCCTTCCTAGCAGGCAGGCTCCTATCTGCAAGGGCCTGTCTCAACACCCAGAACATGTGCCTAGGCTTCAAGCAAACCAATAATCCAGTAGAGGCCTGCTCTCCTGCCATGGGCTCTGGGCAGCTGCCATCCCCAGACATCATTGATTTCAACTGGAGCTATGCACCTATCCCTAACCCTAACCCTAACCCTAACCCTAACCCTAACCCTAACCCTAACCCTAACCCTGGCTGCTTAGTCCAGCAGCATTCACTGGCGTGAAAGTCACGTTACAAGCCGATAAAATAAAGAACAATCAGTAAAAAAGCCTGTCTTCCTCCAGGTGCAAGGTGGGGGACTTCCAGCAGCCACTGGAGATTTTTCCAGATGTGGAAAAGAGACTCAGCAATTTCTCTCAAAAAAAATATTGTTCTGAAGGAGACACTGAGGAAATTCAAAGGTACCAAGGGGGCGCAAATCCAGACGTGTGTCTGTGACGGGGAGGGTTTAGGCACTAGGCAATTGGCTGCTAAGGGAAAGCCCAGCTAAATAACAGTAAAGGAATATATCATCACCCCTGAAGTAGGGATAGGGTTTGGAGAGGTGTATATAATTGTGTTTTCATAGATGGATTTGCGCATCTATCTTAATTACTGAGGAGCGCGATATACTGGGGATGACATCAGTTCTACCTAACACAAAGGGATCAAATCATATTCTTGATTCTATTTTATTTCAAACTGCCTAGGAATTCGCAGGAGGTGAAACTCACCCCTCTTCTGAGAGCCAATGGTCCATCGTCTCTCACTTGAATTGTATTTTGGAGATTCAAGAGGTGCATAGATCTTGGCCTGGCCCTTCTGTAGGGGGATGAATTCACACTCTGTCCACCTTAATTTCTCTCTGTCTGGATAGCTCTGTCCCATCGCCTCCATTTGTTTCCCATCATTAAAGTCCTGTTAGACTGGCGAATTGCAGAAATCTTCTCCTAAAGATAACACCATGACACGCCTCTCTCCTCTCTCTAGATTCTCTGCCGTATGAATTGGAGGTGGAATGGGGTGAGTGTCTGGAAAACAGCTGGAAAAGTGACTTGTGTCAGGGATATTTCCCTACTGAGAAGTCCATGAGAGTTGTGGCTCGGGCTTTGCTTGCAGAAGAAGTTTCTGAGGTCGGACAAAGTAGCCTCTTGGCAATGAAGGAGGAGCTTTACAGGAAAGGGGGAAGGCCTTTAGCACCCCAGTATTAGTAATCCTTTAACTGCTGTTATCCCATGGGAGTGAGAAGGGGGCTGCTGGGCCATATGGAGACTGGCCAGCCCCCATCGCCACTGAAAAACAGCTTTGCTAAAAATTGGAAAATGTGGAAGTTGTTTCGATTTCTCGTGTCTCAAAATTCCACCCTGCCCCTGGGCTGGGGAGAGGAGTCTTGAGTTGGTGCCTTTTCCATTCCCCGTGGGCTGGGGTGACCACCTGGGCTCTTTGGTACAAACAAGAGGCCTCTGCTCTCATTCGGGGCCACTGATTTCAACCCTCCAGGGTCATTCCATGTACACTGGGGTTTGCGTTCTCCCTTTGGCTGCCTTCCGGGTGGGTACAGGACGTCTCTTCAGCAGGCAGCATGATTCTCTTGTCTCTCTCTACTGCTAGGAGTGTCCCAGCCAGGCCGGGGCTGCTGGGGAGTGTGAGAAATGGTCCCAGCCTCCCCCAGGGCTGAGCTCTGCCCCTCACGCTCTGATTCTCTCTCCCCCCCAGTGAATGTGACTCTGGATCCGGACACGGCAAATCCCCACCTCGTCCTGACTGAGGATCGGAAAAGCGTACGGTGGGAGGACACGCCTCAGGATCTGCCCGACAATCCTGAGAGATTTGATACGTACTGCTGCGTGCTGGGCCAGGAGGGATTCACCTCGGGGAGGAACGACTGGGAAGTGCACCTGGGGCAGCAGGGATTCTGGACTGTCGGGATCACCCGAGAATCTGTGTGGAGAAAGGGATGGATCAGTCTGGACCCCGCCCAGGGGATCTGGGCTGTGGGGCTCTGTGGGGGACAGTACCGGGCTTACCCCGACACCCTGCTTCCTCTGAGTAGGAGGCCTGGGAGGATCCGAGTTTCTCTGGACTATGAAAGGGGGCAGGTGGCTTTTTTTGATGTTGATAACGAGGCCCCGATCTTCACTTTCCATCCTGCCTCTTTCAATGGGGAGAGAATCCTCCCTTTCTTCTGGGTCTGGGAATCCCAGCTCACGCTGTGTCCCTGAGCTATGGGCTAGTCTATCCCAGTGTGGACCATGAACCGGGCTCCTCTGGCCTCTGACAAGCCCAGCTCTATGATCCTGGAAACTGACGTGTATTTCTGAGGTGTCAAAACCAGGAAGAGAGTGAAGCGGTCGGGCTAGAGAAGCAATGGGCATGGCCTAGCCTATGTGTCTTCATCCTCCGTTCTTGGGGAGGATTGTAGGTGTCGGAAGGGTGAGCAAATTAGAAATTCTGTAGCAAGTTCTCTGGATTTTGTAGCCCCTGGGCAAAATTTCATGGGAGCTCCAGCTAGTTGTTTCCTATGGAGTATTTGACTTGAAGTGAAATGGGGTATTTATTTTGGCACTGAATTGGGTTTATTTTACTCTGTTCCCACACAGTCAGTTTCCGGGCTCCCATTCCTGTGTTTATTGACATTGTTGGGAGAAGGAGAATCTGAAGGCTTTGGCTGCTGGTTAGTACTAATAGGGCCTTTAAGGACGTTTGGGACTGTGGATGTTTCTGCTAAAAGCGATTGGCAGTCAAAGGGTTAACAATGTCGACGAATGAAATCGCCCTCTTTAGGTTTCAGAGTTAAACCCGTTGACTTCAATGATGTACTCCACATTTCTCAAGGCTGTGTGGTAAGAATGGGTCCTGAAGGATGGACCTGGAAAGAGGTGGAGAAAATGTTATGGACTTTTATAGTGTTATTGTTTTAGCAAGTGGATTCTATGTCTTTATGATCCACCAGATGATTGTATTAAAGTGTCTTGATCGCTCCAATGGGCTCCCTTGTCTTTCCTGTTTAGTACACAATACAGTAGCACCTCAGAGTTACGAACATCAGAGTTACAAAGTGACCGGTTAACCACACACCTCATTTGGAACCGGCAGTACGCAGCTAAGCAGCAGTAAAGCCAAAAAAAAAAGCAAATACAGTACAGTGCTGTGTTAAACGTAAACTACTAAAAAAAAATAAAGGGAAAGCAGCATTTTTCTTCTGCTTAGTAAAGTTTCAAAGTTGTGTCAAGTCAATGTTCAGTTTGAAACTTCTGGAAGAACCACCATGAAGTTTTGTTCGGCATTATGAACATTTCAGAGTGACGAACAACCTCCGTTCCCGAGGGCTTTGGAACTCTGAGGTTCTACTGGAGAGAAATAAGCCAAGGAACCCTCAGAATTAACGGGTGCGGTGGTTGCTTTTTACTGACACGCCCATTGCCACGAGGGTGGGCCACTCCAGTGAAAGGGAATGGCAATGAAAAGAACTTTCTCACCTCTTTTTAGAAATGCCCACGCGTCTACTGGGCAATATTCAAGTGTCTTCATGTGGTTCCTTCGGGATCTAAGTGTCCAGTGATGGAGGCACGTCCGTCACTACATCTGGCTGGAGAGCTCAGCTCAGTGCACGAACACTTCTTGAAACGCCTCCTGGACTTAAACAAGGTTCAGGAGCAGAGGCGCTGATTTTCTGAGTTCCCAGGGGGTGCTCGACCCCCACTCTGCCTCAGGCCCTTCCCCCATTCCACCCCTTCCCCCAAACCCCACCCACTCCACCTCTTCTTGCCCCTGCTCCACCCCAGGCCCCGCCCCCACTCCACCCCTTCGCCCAAGCCCCCACCCTACCCTGCCTCTCCCTCCCCCCGCTCCTCCCCCTCCCCCCCCCAGGGCCTCCTGCATGCCAGTGAACAGCTGATAACTAGCAGAAAGGAGGCGCTGGAGGGAGGGGGAGGAGCTAATTGGCACTGCTGCCAATGGGTGCCGAGCACCCCTATTTTTTTTCTGTGAGTACTCCAGCCCCAGAGCACACATGGAGTCGGTGCCTATGTTCAGGGACCTCAAGGGAAGCTGTCAGTCCGGCCTTCGGAGGTGGCGCTTCCTGAGGTGTTTATCTCATAGCAGCGTCTGTGACAACCCAGGCAGCCCTACCATGGCTGCCAGCTAGTGGTGTGACCGTGTCGGCCGTTCCACCGACTTGGGTTCTAAATCTGTCCCTGCAGAACCTCTTTGCCCTAATTATCCATGAATGAAAAGCCTTTGGCTGACACAAGCCCTGGAGTCCCACAAAGCACTTGTATTATCTTCCTTATTTTGGGAGAAGAGATGGGGTGGGGGTGGGGCCTTGGGGGAGGATGGAGTGGGAGCGGGGCCTTGGGTGGGAGGGGCGGCACAGGGGCTGGGGATCATGGTTTGGGCACCAGTACCCCCCGCCCACTTTTAGGGAGCTTAAGCCGCTTCTGTCCCTCACGGGAAAGGTCCATAGACAAAACAATCACAACAACCTGCAGACAAACAGACGAAACGTCAGAGCACCGACTTCCTGCTCTGCTTTGTCTCCTGTATCCCCTTCCCCCACCCATCGTCTGACTGGTCAACCTAAACCAAAGGGCTCTCAGGGTGCGGATGGTCTAAAAACTCCAACCATCCCCGTCTCCTCCCACTGAGGGCAGGTCTACGCTTAAAACGCTGCCGTGGTGCCACTGTAGCGCTTCAGTGAAGACGCTACCGTTGCTGACGGGAAGACTTCTCCACCTTCCCAGAGAGGCGGTAGCTATGGAATTCTCCCTGTCGACACCGTGCTCTCTACACTGGGGGCTAGGTTGGTTTACCTGTGTCACTCGGGGGTGGATTTTTCACATCCTCTGAGCGATGTCGTTATATGGACTGAATTCCCTAGTGCAGACCAGGCCTCCGTTTCTGATTTTTTTTTTTGATTGCTTGTTGCTCTGGTAGCACAGTTTGCCTTGCCTTTAATGGTCTGCCATGGTCGATCTACGTCTCTGTCTGCAGCATCCACTCCTTTCCCCCCTCCAGGAAATCATGGGAATGTTAATGAATACGGAGGAAGGAGTTTTTGCTTTGACCCAGGTCCTGAAATGTATTTAGTCTCCTAACTTCCAATGGAGGCCAAATACCTGAGGATCTGGGCTTTTATTACAAGTTTGTCTGGCCTGCAGCACAACAGGACTCTGAGCCTGACTGGGGCAGGTCTAGGAGCTACAGGAATATCAATAAATAACATAAATGCAATTTGGGTGGCGCAAAGGTGGGAGATCAGCAGGGGATAAAGACGGACAGGGACAGCGCTTCCCTTCTTGGTAATCATAGAATCATAGAACTGGAAGGGACCTTGAGAGGTCATCTAGTCCAGTCCCCTGCCCTCACAGCAGGACTAAGTATTATCTAGACCATCCCTGACAGGTGTTTGTCTAACCTGCTCTTAAAAAGCTCCAGTGAGATTAGGTGAAATCTAACTCCTAACCACCAATAATTTTTCTTACTGTGTCTGGATTTAAATAAATGATTACATTACATTCATTTATTGACATTTGGGGGCCGGATTTCACCGTTCTGCCCTTCAGTAGCAGAGAGATGCATTCTCTTAATTGCGGTTTCAAAGAGGTTTTTTTTAACCTGGGAATTAAGTAGCGTTGTTCCCTGCATGGGGAGGGTCACATTGCTCTCCAGGGCCTCAGGGGCTGAAACTAGATGGGGCTCATTCCAGCCCAGCAAATGAGCCGGCTTCAGGAGAAGAAATGCTGTCAGGATGCACTCAAAGGGAAGTGATGTGAAACTAACCTGCTGTCACACTTGTCCTCACGGAGAGAGCCATGGCTACTGTGGAAAAACTCCAAGAGGAAGCTTCTTGTTCCATCTGTTTGGAGTATTTCCAAGACCCGGTGTCTATACACTGCGGGCACAACTTCTGCCGAGCCTGCATCACTCAGTGCTGGGCCGAACTGGCTACAAACTTCTCCTGCCCGCAGTGCAGACAGACCGCCCAGCAGAGAAACTTCAGGCTCAACAGGGAGCTGGCGAACATGGTGGAGCTAGTGAAACAGCTGAAGTTGCCTCCAACAAAAGAGCCAGAGGCGGAGCGAGTGTGCGAGAAACACAGGGAGCCTCTGAAACTCTTCTGTGAGGAGGAACAACAATTAATCTGTTTGGTCTGCAGAGAGTCCTGGGCGCACGGAGCTCACGCTGTGGTTCCCATAGAGGAGGCTGCCCAGAAGTACAAGGTAGGGAATCTCTCTCTCTCCAGAGTCTCTATTTATGCCTCTTTTATGTTTTTGGTTGGTTGCCTTTTCAATATCAAAATGGCAGGAGTTCAGTAAAGCCTAGTGTAATTTGGGCCCTTCGCTGGGCAATTTCTAGACTAAACGTTTGGGTTTCTTTCCAGTTTAACTTGAACTCCTCGTTTCCTGCGTTACTGATAGTCGATTTCTGCTTTGAGCAGGGGGTTGGACTAGATGACCTCTTGAGGTCCCTTCCAACCCTGACATTCTATGATTCTATGCTCACAACAGAGTTCTTGCATGGACTTTTGGCCCAGAGCTTCAGAGGTCTTTAGATTTCTGGATTCCATTGAAATCACTGGAAATTGAGAGCCTAGGTATCTTTGAGGAGAAAAGCCTGAGCCACAAAATTTTTGACCTGTGCTCCTCATAACTGGTTTTTTTTCTAGTGGAACCTGAGCGCCTAACGTCTCATTCATTCAATTTGCTAACAAGTGTTCCTGCAAGGGGTTGTGCTGTTAAGTTACTGATCTGTGCACCTAACATTTAAGAAAATGCTGTATAGTCTGGGAATTAGACCTAAATGAATGTGCCCTTTTGCATCATAGGTCGCAGTCTTCCAAACACTAATTAGGGCTTGTCCATTACATGGAGAAATTCCTGATCAACCCTTATTTTGGAGCAAGAGTGCCCTTTGCTCCTGTAAAGTGGATTAAGCTGAATAGGAATACGTCACTGTTGTTTTGGTGTAAAAGTATCCACACATGTACTGTGCTTTAAATTCACACCCACAATGACTGGCAAGTCTAGATAAGTCCTTATGCACATGCTTAAATTTATATTACCATGTCAATGAGGCTACTCAGAGTAGTACGTTAAGCATGTGTGTGTCGCAGGATCAGGGCTATTTCACCCTGAAATTACATTCCTCGGGCACTGAACCTGTTGTGACTAAAACTGACTGGAGTAATATATTACTCCTTGCTCTATGCCACATATTTCACTCCCAATAAGGTAATATATTTCTCCAATTCTTGTACGCTGAGTATCCAGTTTAACACTGACTCCTAATTCCCTGGCTTTTTAATGGATGTATTTTGCTAACAACTGCAATGTTCTTGTAAAGACTTTTTACCCTTACGTTACTGATCTATGCTTTCAATCTTAAGGAATATTTTTTGTTTGAAAATAGGATTTGAGTTATTTTGTCTTTTTGTCATCTAATAATTCTGTCCAACACCATATCCTTGAGGGCCTGGACACATTGATCTGGATTCACAAAGCTATGTAGGGCAGGTCTACACTAGCGCTTACTTCAATATAACTTAAGTCGCTTGGGGGTGTGGAGTCACCCACTTTCCTGCTGATATAGCTACTGCGGCTCCAGGAGTGGAGTCACAGGTGCTGTCTTTTTTTTCCCTAGTGGGTGCTCCACCCCTGCTCCACTCCACCCCTCCTGCCCTGCCCTGCCCCCTCCCTCACGGCCCCTCCCTCTTGCCCCTGGCCCCCCAAACAGCTGGTCAACATTGGTACAGCTGTGCTGCTCTAGGATTCTAGCATAGATAAGCCCTTTAGTGCTGGTCTACACTGAGGAGGGGAGGTGTCGATGTAAGATACGCAACTTCAGCTACAGGAATAGCATAGCTGAAGTCACGTATCTTAGATCGATTTACCTCCCGTCCTCATGGCGTGGGATTGACGTCCGCGGCTCCCCCATCGACTCCGCTACCGCCGCTCGCCCTGATGGAGTTCCGGAATCGACGGGAGTGTGTTCGGGGATCGATATATTGCGTCTAGACGAGATGCGATATATCGATCCCCGATAGATCGATTGCTACCCGCTGATCCGGTGGGTAGTCTGGAAGATGTTGCAAGTCCCTTTCTGAAGCTGGTCTATTTGAAATAAAGTTGACTAAGGTCCTTTTATTCTTCTTTTGTGTCATTAATTTCATACCCAACAAAGCAATAACCCACTCCTTGCTCCCCAGACCGCCTGACTGCTAAGCAGGGTATTCAGAGCCCTTGGTTTGTGTAGATTATACAGACCAGCAT